TTTTCCTCTGTCTCTCTGTGTCATAGTTCTGGATGACTCCAGGCAGACTCTTTCCTCTCATGGCCAATCTCACATGTTATGGGGGAGCTATAGATAGTCTGGGCTAGTCTCTGTGCCATCCACATCCTGTCAGTGTGTGTGTACAGAACTCACCTTGAGACTATGCTGTGCTGTGGCTGTGCTAAAGTAATTTGTTTTCTAATGTTTTTACTCCCCAAAAGGCTGCTCTGAAACCTCCCCAGTAATGTCAGCTGAATATTAACAGTAACATAATATCAGGGAATCAAAATACACTTAGCAAAATAGTACACAGGACTGCAAAGTTGCAGAAAAATCTGTTTCCYTGCTGTTTGGGTATTCCTTTGTTTTCTACTAAGCTGGTTGAAATAGAGAATAGGAGTCATAGAGATGTCCCCAGTTCAAATCTGTGCACCAGAAAGATGCCAGTACTGGGCAGGGCTATGCTAGGCAAGAATTGTAAACACTTAGTGCCAGGGATAGAAAAAAACCTAGGAGAAATGCACTGCTTTATTAGCTGTGGAGCTGCCCTAGGATTGGCTTAGCTGTATTGAGAAACTGTTTTTAAAAAGGTCCAAAGTACTCTTCCCTATCAATTTGGTGAAAAAACATCAGAAGAACTTAACGTGCTGAACTGCCAAGTAAATGCACCTTTCTTCTGTGATGTGAATACAGAGCATCCTGAGAGTAGGCAGTGTGTCTGTACCTGTGATTTTGTGTAAGTGATTAACAAGTAGGTGTTGGCAGGAAAGCATTAAAATGTAATAGTGGAGTAAAGCCAGACAATTTGGTTTCCCAACAATAAACCAAATGATTCCCTATATAAGCTATTGTCATACAGAGAAAGGGAAAGCTATGAACCTTTGTCCCTTCGCCTGAAATTTGCCTTTGTTGCCCAGAGGAACTGTGGGCACAGGGATGCAAAGTAATGTAAAGGAATTTGTCTCCTGAAGCCTATAGCTGTCCCAAAGGTCACCAAGACCCTGTGCCAGCACAGTCTGAACTCCAACTGAAGCTCAGGYTGATTGCTTCACCAGGCCTTCATGTGAGAAGGTAGCAGTTAAGGCAGGGGGAAAATAATCCTAAGTGCATCAAAATTGTCTCRAAGTGTTGCCAACAGTCTCAGTGGAGTTGATGACTAGTTACCATCATGGAAGGCTTATCCCTCAGCCACAGCCAGCTGCTTCCCTTTCTCTCCAATGACTACGACCTCTGAGAAAGTCCTTGAGCTTCAATTCCCCAGGTTGAGCAGAGAGAAGAGGGGGAGAGAGGTAGCAGGAGGCTGTAAATTCTTTGTTGCCTGCTTTAATTTAATGGTCTAGAATGTATTCCCTCCTTTTCTACTGAAACTAATTTTCCTTTCTAGCAGAATATTATTATCACCTTCCTCCTACAAATCATTTTCTCAGTGGTKGAGAAAACCACCATCTTATCAATCCTTTTGCTTTTATGATGTCCCACATGGGTTTGAAAAAAACTTGCTTTTTTAATGCATCTTCTGATTTAACCATTTCTGGTGGCTGATRTGCCATTTTTGCCATTGTTTATCTTAAGGACAAGTTAACATTGTGAATTGTGTGCATGTAGAAGCATCTTTTTTTTCTCATGTTTCTACCACACCTACACAAAGGATTGTGCATCCAAAGCAAATGTTTTGAATTTTTACCTGCTGTAAGACATGATTTATGTGTAACAATCAACTTAGTTAACCTGTTAACCAGAATTATCATCCTAAATGCATTCTGACTTTCTAGGCAGATAATGTCCATGTTGCATATTCCCCCTGATTCTGTCTGTAGGGGAAAAGTATAGATCATTTGTTATTGTTTTGGGTTTCATAACCCTTTTGCTGCATCTCTTTTGCTCCTAAGCAGGAACAAAATAGTGTCTCTCATGCCAGAAGAAGTTAACAGACCCTCTACTAAGGAAGAACCTTATTCCAGTAAATAGTGCAGCTGGAAATAATGAAGGTGTTGATGTGAGKAAAACAAAATACTGTCACTGATGCATTTTTGCTGGAACATAGAGAGGAAAATGGGAGATAAGCTTTAACTTACAGCCTTTTTGAAGAAGATTAAACCACATTGAAAGGTTCATAAATGTAGCAGGCTGAAATATTATATTCTGAGGTTATAAAATAAATTTTAAAGAATGAATAGTTAAAAAAATCCATGCCTAGTAGCATCACTCTAAGTGCATAAAAATAATTATTGTTGCCAATTTCAGTGGAAGAGAGTTTTAAGTAACATAGAGAGTATTATTTCAATCATTTGAACTACAGTAAATGTAGCTAATCGACCTTTTTTCTAGGTAACAGCACTAAAATTAGATATTYGAGGAAAATAAAAGAAAAGTTTAGCAGAAGCTAGATGGTTGTTCCATTTCTATTATAACATTTGGAACAGAAAATTGTTTTAATTGAAGTTGCTTACAATTAAGAGCTGCAGATGTATCTTTTCCTCACTATTTATTTGGACTCTTTGGTTTCAGGTCCTAAGTTCTGTGAAAGGATGGTGCACACAGTCCTCACCAAAATCAGGTACAAATTTTCAAGCCCAGGGTTACTGGAAATCTTTTTTCACAGGAGCTGAAGGCTCAGCTGTACAGCAAAGCATCATTTCCAGCCCTGTCTGAATAATTAAAATAGTTCTTGGGGTGTGCGTTCACATAGCTGTGCTTAAAGGTACTGGATGGCTGAAATCTGTAACTGTGGTAGTCACAGTCTAATGGTCATGGTGATGCTCATCAGGAGTGAGGTGTAAAACCAAAACAGTGGCTGTGATACAGTCTGCATGCCTGCCTGCCTGTCTGCAGAGGGATCAAAAGTCTTTTTGGCATTTTCATCATTTTTTCATGATTGGTTCTGATCCAGTTTTTCCTTTCTGGAAAGGTGATTGAGATATGGTATGAATTTGGGGTCCCAGATACTGTGAAAGTTCCCTTTCTTTGAATTGGTGAATTTAAATTCATGGAAAGCTTCCAAAGAGGAGCAGTGAACCCAGCTTTTGATGAGAAGTACTTGGAAGTAATTCCTGCAATGTTAATTTGGGACCTTCTCTGCAAGTTGCACCTAGGTATATTTACAGTTTATACTAAGCAAAGTAAGGAATAAGTATTTGGAAATATTACTTGTCAAGTATATTGATTTAGACAACATTTTTTGAAATAAATTAATAGCTGAGGGTGTTTGATGAGGTAAAAGTTGTGATTCTGAAATATGGACTGAAATATTAAGAAGTAAATAGTTATTTTGATGAACCAGTAAATCCAGTGTGAAAACTAAATATAGTTAACATCTCTCCAACACAACTTCCTGACTTTGTGTATTATGCACATAGCACATAAAGCCCAGGGCTGTAGTYTGATGTTGTTGACTAATTTAAACACAGAGTGATAAGTGAAAAATCACCTGAATTTTTAATTTCTTCTAAGTCAAGAGTAATAGTTTGTCTTTGACCACTTCCTACTATTTTCCCCCCGCCATCTTCCTCATGGAAGCCTGTACCCCTCTGCCATTTTTGTTAATTTAATAAAGATGCTTTACTTACAGGGATGGTACAGGCCGTTTAATCCTCRCAGCCGTCACCTCCTGGTCACTTTCTTCCTGCTCGAGTTTGTCCTCTGCTTCCCCATARCCGCTGTCCTGGGCATCCAGGCTGTCATCCTGATACTTGAGCAGCAGCTCTTCCTTTGCCTCATCTTTTTCCTCRTCTTCCATCTGCTCCCAGCCCTTGGTCAGCTCTGATACCACATTTGAACACTTTCTCCTTATGCCTGAAGGTAATTTGCCATTAAGAATTTTGTCAATAGCACTGGATTCTTCTTTGAGCTTGGTCATCTCAGGGCTGCTGTTGTTCTCATATCTTTCACTGAGGAGGCTGATATCACCCCCTCGTTCATAGGCTTTGCTGACCACTGTTTTGGTCACCTCTTTGCTTTTAATGCTGAATATTTTGAGGGCTTCATCTGGTTCCCCTGATTTTTTTTCCACATCTCTTATTGTCACCAATTCCTTGGCTAAGGATTTTTCACCATCTTTTTCTTGGTCCCTCCTGACAGACGGAATTTGCTGTTTTTCAAAGGAGCTTTCTTGTACAGGCTGAGCTGAGCTGTGTGCGGAGGGGACCCATCCAGAGGGCTCTTGCTCTTGCTTTACGTGGTGGTCAGATGCCCACTGCTGCCAGCCTCGTGCCAAGCTGAAGACTTGGCTGGCCATTCGGATCTTGTGGACAGCCCTTTTCACAGGAGCAGCGCTCGGCTTTTCTTCAGGAGCCATGTTGCTGTCCGCTGCCATCCTGGCTTCTCCCTTTCTAATGCTCAGCACCTTCTGAATGGACTTCCTGGGGTGAATGATGCCCTCTGAGCAGAGCCACCCAGATTTAAATAGAASCAGGAGCAGTTGATGCCCGTGGAAAATATGTGAAACACTTCTCACAAAGATATAGTATCCTCCCTGTTGCAGAGGTCTTTTTTTAAAACGCAGGGTTACATTTCATCACAGCAGATGAATGATGCATGATGTAAACAGTGTGACACAGACCTGCGCTGGAAATAGTGGGAGAGTAACAGCCCCCTCCCGGGACTGCTGAATTCTCRGTTTGTTGGCCAGGGTCTTGTTCTTTTGGAAATGCAGCTCTTGGGTTAGAGATCCTGATCAGAGTGACTGAAAATGCTAAATGTGAAAGTGCTGTCAGTTGCTGACAACTTTGGCCATCTCTCATCATCATTAAAAAGAGTGGACACCTCTCATCATCATTAAAAAATAGTGGCCCTCATCATGGAGTGTGAAGCCAGAAGCAAGTTATGGCTGAGAAATTTTTAGAGGTATTTCCTAAAAAGATATCAGGTGACTTTTTCTTATTGCTCACATGACCAAGGAAATCAAGGTTTGTTAATTTTTAAACAGGTATTTATGTGTTCTCTTCCCAGTCATTATCTATTAATGTCTCTCTCTTTAGAACAAACCTCCAGGGGGGCCTGGGGACACTGTCGTGTTTGGTGTCAGCGCTAAGGAACAGGGAACCACTGTGTCTGGGGATCAGTATAGTAAGTCTGACTTGAACAGATGGATGAACYCCAAGTGCTAGGGTTTTGAAAAAATAAAATATAATCCTTTTAATTTCTCACTGCTTTTCAAGAGTTGTATGCAGCATAATTATGTTTWCAGTGTGCAATATAAAAAAAAAAAATCAGGTTTTCTTGGAAACCTTGTGATTTCTTCATTCCAGAGGACTTCATAGTGTATATTCATATTTGAATTTGTAGAATTGTTTAGTGAATTGATACATCAATTGTTGCATGGTAATAAACAGTCTTTTTTATGAGATATAGTCCTGTGATATCTTAGTTCTTAGTATAACGTCTCCTAAATAGGAACGGAAAATGTCATTGCTTTTTGAATRCATCATACCTTGCAGATTACAGGATGACCTGTGGCACTCACCATGTGGTGCTTTGAGGCACACTGAACTTCAAGGAATTCTGTTGGCTTTGTTGATGTTACATCAGAGATAAATATGGACTCTCGTGCTCTGCCTATTTTTTATCTTCTCTGTTAAGGGCTGGGCTCTTTGAAGTAGGTCAGGTCATACTTAGCTCTTGATTAATGCTGTAAGACTACATCATACCTTTGACTTCCATGTAGAATTCCTCATTAATCTGTGGAGTAATTTCTTCTTCAAAACTGATGACATAATGTAAGTTAGTGTTGCTTTTAGATATTTACTCATGCTTTTATTTTAGAAAGAAATGTGTCACCTCTGTGTACTGTACAGTCTCAGCTATTGCCCACTGCGTCATAGCTGTGAGATGGCATTGTAATTTGTACCCATACAACTTGATTAAGAAGTGTTTATTTTGGGGYCATTTTAAGGCTAATCAGGAATGGGATCTTCATGTGCTTAAATTTACTCGTGCTTATGCATGCGTGCACACAGGGGAGCGTCTGTTCCCTCAAATACAAGGAAGGGGCAAGCGAAAGAAAGCAATGCACGTGCAGAATTGGAGTRTTACACCAGTTCATTATGTCATTCCGGGTGGTCTCTGGAGTGTAAAGGTGCCTGAGGCTTTAGGAATGAGCTGAAAGCGAAATACAGACATGAGGGGTAAGGCCAAGGAAGGACTGCAGTGAAACAAGAGACTGTGGAAGGACAATCTGAGGTGTAAGGCCAGTAGAGAGCCCTGTCCTAAGGCATGGACAGCTCCAGCTCGGCATGACCTGGGTCCTTTTTTACCTGCTCTTAAACACTAACAGCAGCCAATGCTCCCCACTGTCTTGGCAATCTATTCCACTGGTTAATTGGCTGTATTTTRCMGTTAAAGGCCTCTGCTCAGTYACTGCAAATACTCTTGAAGTTCTTRAACAYTTTTGCTCTCACATATTATTTGCAAGTAGTTGTATTGAAACATGGCACTGAAAAATAATTGCATTCYTGAGGAACATTTAGAAATTGAAGCACTTTTCAAAGAAGTTAACAATAAAGAGATTTCTGTTTTTTTTCTAATGGATTTGACCTTGGCATACTGCTCATAGTCCCACAGACTTAATGCTTACATAGTTTAGATAAATGACAATGAAATGTAACAGATTAATGAAAAACATCAAGATTACATATCTAAACTAATATAAAATCCATATAGCACAACAATATGTTAAACAGATGTTTAGTTAAAATTGGTCACTATATTAAACTGAAGCATTATCATAGACTTGTCCAAAGTGCCAGTGAAACTTTGATACAATYATTCCGGGGATAACTATGTTTATGATGCTTAATTTTAGGGTGTACAATGGTGTTGCCTTGAGTGTGTTGAATGGTGTCTCATTTTATTTGGTGATGCAAGAAGTTAATTATAAATTATGTTGGAATCATCCAGTGATATTCGTACTTCAGGGATTGTTTACTTTSCAAATATTTTATTGCAATAAGAACAGAATTTATTACTTCATGATTTAAAATTTTTATTCTTAATGAAATGATCAGCCAAGGTTACATTTCTGCCTGTAATCTACTGCGACTTCTACAAGTTAATAGCCAGCTCYAAAGGCAATGGTATGTTTTTGGCAGGCTGCACCTGAAACACATTTTCTATTTGTCTTCCATACATCACAAGGTTATAAAATATACTCCAAATACACAGCAAGGCTTGGTGAGGGTGACTGTCACAGACATTCACAAGTTCAGAAACTACCCTTGAGGCCAGAGTTGAGGCGCTATTTCTTGCAGAAATCTATAGGAGAAAAGGTAATTGGAGAAAAAGTATTAATTTTGATGAGCAAGCTTGACACATGCTGAAGTTGTAAACTCCCCTGTCCTTGACCCTGGCTGCCTACACTTCTGGGATTCAATTTCTTTGACACCTTTAGATAAGTCTGCACATGTCCCTAAGACCTTGTTGCTGCTTGTGGATTGCTGCATTTCACATTATACCCCTGACTTCCTTAATCCAAAGTTGTGAAGGACCAGCTGAGGAGTTGTCAATGTCAGAATTAAAAGTTGGGATGTTCTTTTTGTGTGGTGGTTTGATTTTTTTCTCCTGGATGGATTTTCCCTGTATACTTATAAAATATTTTAAAATCCTTTAATTTTCTCTTTGCTGTAGAACATTAACACTCTCTGCGAGACCAATTTGCCATCATTTTTTTTTTTTGTTTTGTTTAAGGCTGATTAATTGTAAAAGTATGACTATACCCTTCATACATTAATTTACCTTGTCAGACACTGACAGAAGTTATTCAATGTTTTTGATGCCAAGGAATTTAATTTTGAACCAATTGTAAGTGCATGAAAGATGCTGTCTTCCTCCCCAGAGTTCATGGTGAATAACGAGAACAAGATGTGTTTCTTTCTTAAGTATAACCAGCTGCCATTATCAGGAATCTCAAGAATTCTTTTCACCATGACACAGTTAAAGTACATTTTGTCATAACATCATACACAGCCAGTTATCACAGGAAACCTGGRAAAAGGGTTAGGRTTTGGGATTTCCTTATTTTTAGGGTTGATGTCGAACATGTTCCTTCTAACAACAGCAGTGAGCAACTGTGTCCCATTCAGCATTGCAGCTTCGTGTACAATCCATGTGTCTGAGCTACAAGAAATAGATGCTCCTGAGTTCTTGGACTGGGTCATGKCCAGCCATTAATTGAAAGCAGTTTGTGCATTCATTGGTGCTGTTTCTTGTATTTGCATCCTGTATCTACTCACAGCCTTTTTTGTTTAACTGAAATAGTTTTATACCGAGAAATTATCCCTGTGTAATTAAAGTGGAATTTTGAGTCTGCATTTGATTGTGTGACATCAGGATTCAACTATATGAGAGATCAAGGCTTATCCATGACCCATCATGGCAGCACTGCTTTGTGAAGAAAATAAATCCAACAAATTGTCACGAAAACCCTGGTCAGAMTGAAAAGACTCTTAGTTGTGAAAGGGTGATGGGGAGAGAGGGCAGACCCTCAGTAGCAGCAGCTGCAGCTGTGGGGTTGTGGGGCACAGCCCCAGAGCTCCTCTCCCTCAGGTGAGACACATTTAAATCCAAGCCACSCAAGTAATAGAAAACAGCCCTGTAGATCCTGAACTGGCTCAGAACAAGAACACAGCATAATTTTTCACTGCAGTCTGGCAGAGAGACCTGGCTGTTAGAGCTGAGAGAAACCCAGTTCAGGAAGCAAAGATGCATCCATGTCTTCAAGTTCCTACACAAGCCCTGCTACTCAAGTGACAAAACTCTTTGCTGTCTTAAATATCTTATTCCTCTAAAGTTGTCTACACATTTCAGAAGATGAAAAYCAAGACTAGGATGTAAATCCTTAAAGCATTTTGTCACCCTTTTCCTGCCTTTGCATATAGTGCCCRCAGCTTTTCTTGAGGGTCAAATGCCTGCAAGAAATCCATACAAGTTTAATCAAATKTATACAGGAAAGGAAAGCAGAGGTAAGACCACATGCTTTTAGTCCCTTTCACCTTTGAGCATAAATACATCTCTTATCTGAATATCTGTAGTAAATGAACAGAAACTAGTAACAACAGTAATGAAGCTATTTTGTTAAAAAGAGTAAGCAAACATTTGTAGGAAATAATTTGCATTAGGCATTTAGTTTTACTTGGATTATGAAGGAATTTCTGAAGATCATTTAAGCAAGATAGCCTTTAAAATAAACCCACAAATATGTTGCTATTCAAGTTTATATTGATCATATCTATTTGTCATTGAATGGTTATCCTTTTCTGATAAGAAAATTATTTAATATTGTAAGTAATTTAATTTTGTGGTTCCAGCTTGCTGACGTATTTTAGTTTACAGTTTATCTAGAAATAGTCTCATGGCT